TTTGAGTAAACATGACTCAAAAGATCTCCTTAAAATTTTGCAGGAACACACAGGGAAAAAAAAGCAGCAGAATTAATGAGTTTTTCTCCATTTAAAATATATGATTAACTGAGTCTATCAACACAAAATCTTATGACAACACAAACAACTGCACCTTTCCAGTGTCCAACCACAGAAGTCTTCCCTACTTGCCATAAATTCTGCTCATGCACGCCTGAATTTCTTCTCTGCTCAACTGGTTTTCACACAGGTTAACCAGAACATCTTCACAGTATCCATACAGTGTAATTATAAAGGAGTTTGACATTGTTCAAACACACAAGTTTACCAGATCAGCTACATAAAATTCAGTGCATAATCCTGGAGTAATTAGTGTTTAAAAAAAAAAAAGCCACGTTAAGGAAGAAAGTTAATGAAGAAAGCCAACTCTCAGGCATCCTACCATAACTCTTGAACAGTTCAGGTTGCTTCAAAGGCAGTTCAACAGCTTCTCTAATAGTTCTGAGCTGGCTGCTCAAACCTCCTATCATGTCATAGGTGACCCGAGACTCACACTCGCCATCCTCTGTTACACTGGTTCTTGGTTCAATAAAATTGATTTTAGTTCTTGAAGAAATGAAGTAAAAACAATCTGTATTGCTCATTGCTCCGATTTTGCCAGTTAGTGGGAGCCCCTCAGTGCTGCCTTCCCCAGCCAGCTCCAGATCCTGGGTGAGTTCTGCACCATCTCCCCTGCTGAAGGTTTTGTCTCTGTGCCCAGAGTTTGGGGCACTGGGTGTGACTGGTGAGCCTGGATCCACAGCTTTGCTCGGGGTGCTCATGGAGGCAACCACTGGACTGTCACCAATGTCCATCCTGCCCAGCTGTAAGGACAAGTCTAAGGCACTGCTCTCCAGATCTGACCTCTCAAGATCTGGCTCATTGGAATCATCAGGAATGGCACTGCTGCCGTGGGCAATCAGCTCTGCACCGTCAGACCCCTTCACTTTCATCACCACGATGTTGCAAAGTTTGCCATAGAAAGTGAAAGCCAAGAGGTTTCCTGGCAGGACTACTTTCCCATCTATGAGAAAATTAAAGGGAAAAAAAAAAGACAAAGATTATGCTATTTCAATCTACTTTGGCAGCAATTAACACTCAGACATCCTTGCATCATAATAACTCTTTCTCAGGAAGCTTAGAAAGTGCTACAAATTAACATAACAAAAGGTAATTACAAGGTAATTCCAGGTTCTTTGAATGATCCTTTTGTGCACAAGCAGACTCTACAGGATAAACATTTGTCAGTATCTTATGCAATCTCCCATACTTAAACTCATCATTAATTTCAGCTTTTTAAATTCCATACAAAGGGAGGATTTTGGAATTAGTATTGTAAGAAGTAAAAATTTTGTATTCACTACCTTGAATAACTTACCTTTCTTCTCTGCCTTACTTATGTACATCTACCACCCACCGAAGAGCAACTGTACTTATTTACCCTCAACACAAAAGAAAAGGGATTCAGAAGCTGGGATTTCAAGTTAATGTGATCCTTTAACTTGTTACTCATGTTCAGCAGTGCACTCTTTTCCTCACAATGCAAGTAAACTCTGAAGTGCACCACAGTATCAGCCTGAAGGCTGTCAATGGGTGCTGAACACTCCAACACTTCCCTGAGCCAGCAATACAAGTAATGGACAGGAGAAATGGAACCACAACTAATTCAAATTAGATATTTGCAGCATGACATAATTAGTTAGCCCAAGACAGATCCCTGAACAAAATGTGAACAAAGTAGCATCCCATATTTTGCCATAAGCTCTTGATTAAGAACATAAAAAGAAACTGTTTGCACTGGTATCCAGAACTACAAAAACTGAACAATCAAACGAGAAGCAGCAAAACTCGTACCAAGGTTTCTCAGCAGACAGACAGACATTTCCTCAGCATTAACGGTGGCATCTTTGTCCCTGCGGTAGGAAGGGAAAAAAAATGCTTTTTCAAGCACTTAAAAACAAAACCACAGTCGACAGCACTCCACAGTTGTCATATCATATGGACTTAAACCTGAAGATACTAGTAACGAAACTAGTGAAGATACATAGTAACAAAAGAAGTGCACCTATTTAATCTAGGTCTTGCTTTGCTAAACAAAATGCTGTAATTAACAAAATTCTAAGGTGCAGTTATCATTTCCTAGGATCACAAATTGGTAATGAAGGCATCTCACCTGTTCAGGCATGATAATCATTGCTACAGGTACTGAACTGAGAAGAACTTAGATCAAGCAGGTCTCTTTCAGCCTTGCAAACACACGTACACAACTTTTATTGACTAAAACAGCGCCTTGAGCACTTGCACCTCGTCTATCAAAACACTCCAAGTTTTCTCGCAAAGTATTTTCTAGTGGTTTAGCTAACTGACTCAGAGCTGAGACTCACTCCATGCATTTTGCAGATGGAAGTCCACAACTCCTGGCAGCACTAACACCTGCACGCTGAAAAGCAGCGGCACCAAAGGTATTTAAGGCAAGCAGACTCAGCTGCTGCAACTCAAAGTGTGAACAACGGGGGGAGCCCTAAGCCTGCAAATGAAAGGCGTTTCTCAATTTTTAACGATCAAGAAAGCAACTTGATGGAAAACAGGTGTTTTGAGTTAATCTAGTTAATGTTGTTGGGGTCTGAGTTGAGGATTGATTCTTTTAAGTAGAGGAAAACCTAAATTATACATACAAGCATAAATATATAAATTATGCATACAAGCACTACCCAGAGGTGTTTAATTTGCAGAGAACAAACTACACCTGTAAAGCATCAAGAAACCTGAACTTGAACAATGGGACTTCAATTTATTCTTATAGTAATTTATGTTCTTGCTTCGTACATGGAAGAATTTCTTCATGGAAAAAAATTCTGCAACTGACTGCCTGGGAACTGTGATGTTAATTTAAGTGCTAGAACACTTACAAAAGTAACTATAAAGTAACTTTATTTAGAAAAATAAATAAATAAATAAATAATCAGACTCTGCAGCAATCCAAATGCCAACTCTGTGAAATAAGAGAGAATGACAAATTTTGAAGGGAAGTGGTTGAATAAAAACCTCAGTAAGGTTATAACAAGTTCTGTACCTCAACTTTACATCGACTTCTTCTGCCTGGATGACTGCACCAGTCACAGGCTGCACAGTGACAGCGTCACCTGGATTTACCTTCAGGCTCTTCTGTGTCGTTTCACCCAGCCCAATTTTCCCCCCTGGGAATCCTGTGGTGGGCCAAGCAGTACAGACCTAGGAGGAGTTTTCAAAGCAAACACCTGTCAGTTGAGGTCTTGCCCCTCTCATCTCCAGTCAATGTAAGCAATGCTTTAACATGAAGGATTAGGTTAAAACCTCAGGTTAAAAAATGATCAAGACACAACGGACAGTGAGATCTTAAGATTTGATTTAAGACACTCTCAAAATTGAAGTGGCTCTATTTTGCTTACGAATGTGATAAACAATTCCACCAGATTCTACACATTATGCAGATGACTCAGAAGCATACACCGTGCTGATTTGAAAATGCTATGCATCAGTGAAAAAAAGATAAGCAAATACAGTTTATTTGCAAGTAAAACAGATGTGTGTGCTTATGCAAGACATATAACTCATTAGTTCACACATGACGTATAAATTTATAGGAAAAAAAATCAGCTGCATGGATTTTTCCCAACACGGAGAATACAGATGCAACTACAGTGTAGACAACATCGAAGAGCACATTCACCATCTTTCCCAACGCATGATCCATGCTGGTTCCATGGAACACAACAGGAACAGGCTAAGAGCACGGGAAAAGCACTCAGGGCCAAGAAAGGGTCTCACCTCCTGCCGCCCATCAGCGGAGGTGAGCAGGGCCGGCCTCCCTATGCAGAGATCCGCAGATTTCATGCTGCTCAGCGACAGCTGCGCCAGCGCTCTGCGCAGCATCTTCGGGACTTTGTCATCTCCTAAAGTTTTCAGGAGAAAAAAAAAAATCCTTTTTTTTCCCCCTTCCCCTCAACAAACCCGGCGCTTCCCGCGCTCCCAGGCAAGCACAACCTCGTCACCCTGAGGGGAGCGCGGACCCCCGTGAGGCGCTGCCGGCGGGGCTGTGAGGCACTGAGGCGCTGCCGCTCGGTGCGGCCCCGTCCACCGCGATTCCGCCACTGCCGATACCCTTCCGCGGGGATAAGCGTAGGTTTCACGGGCGCCTGGTGTGAGGGACCCCTCCGCTCCCACCTTCCTGAGGCGCCGGGAGCGCGGCTGGGCAGGGATTCCGATTCAAACGAGGCGCCCTCAGCGCGCCAGGCTAAACTTGCAGGGCTGGGGCAGCCGGGGCCGCCTGTCCCCGCCTCCCACACCCCGTACCTGCCTCCACGGCGTCGGTGACACGGAGCGCCAGCGGCCCGCCCGCGGCAGCGCCCAGGGGAGCATCCCGCGGGGAGCCGCCGCCCGCGGCCGGGCGCCCCTTGCTCTTCCTTCGGGAAGAGGAGGCAGACATGCTGCCTGCGGCCGGCGCGGAGCGGTTCCGGAGCAGAGGCCGGCACCGCCCCGGGGGGGGCGGCCGCTCCCCGCCCCGCTCAGCGCCATGGCGGGCCCGTGGCGGGCGCTGAGGAGGACGCGGGGCTTGGCGGCCCTTGCGGGGCTGCGAGCGAGGCCGGATAAGTTCGGGGGGGTGAGCGTGGATCTGGGCGAGCTGCGAGGTTCCCCGCGGCTGGAGCGGGCCGCCTTCGGGCGGTGGCTGCGGGGCAAGTGCCGGGCAGGGGTCCCGAGTCCCGGGGCGGGCGGGGGCCGGTGTGTGAGGGGCGGCACGGGGCCCGCCAGGGGGCGCCCTCAGCCGCCGCCTTCCCCTCACGGACCCTCAGCAGCGGCCGGGAGGTGAAGGGCGCTGGCAGGAGGGAGCAGAGGTTGTTCACAGAACCGTAGAATAATCAGGGTTGGAAGGGACCTCTGAGATCATCCAGTCCTATCGCCCGGAGCAGGTGACACAGGAGTGACAAACCACAGCAGGTGGGTTTGGAATGTTTCCAAAGAAGGAGACTCCACGCCCCCACTGGGCAGCCTGTTCCAGGGCTCTGCCGCTCTCTGTGTGAAGTTGTTCTTCCTCCTGTTGAGGTGAAATTTCGGTGTTTCAGTTTATGGCCATTGCTGCTTGTCCCCTCACTGGGCACAACTGAGAAGAGTCTGGCATCATTCTCTTGGCACCCACCTTTGAGATATTGATGTGAGACTCATCTTCTCCACACTGAAGATGTCCAGCTCCCACAGTCTCTCCTCACAGAGAGATGATCCAGACCCCTCATCGTTTTTGTGGCCTCTGCTGGACCCACTCCAATAATTCCTTATCTTCTTTGTACTGAGGAGCCCAGAACTGGACAGAGCACTCCAGAAGAGTAGTTTTCCCTATTTCTCATGGTAGACTAAATATAAAAGCCATCATTTTGCACATGAACCCGAAGTTGTACCACATAAAATATCAAGCTGGCAGCCTCTGAAACTGCTGATGAGTTTCTCACACCAGCAGTAGTTTTACCCTGTTGTAAGTGATGTGAAAGCACAGATTTTTGCATATTACCGACAGCTACAGTGTGTAAAGTTTAAAACAGCACAGATCAAGGGCAAAGGGGTCCCTGACCCTCCTCGCTTCCCTCTTTTGCAGACTCTGTGTCTCAGTGGCGGGATGAAGGCCGTGTTGCTGTCTGGCTCCATGTCCCCATTCTCCAGAGCAGCCTTGTGGCAGTGGCTGCTTCCCAAGGCTTTGCTTTCCACCACGCTGAGCAGGGCTCGTCCACGCTGACGCTGTGGCTGGGAGAGGGGCCCAGCAGGCTGCCAGGGTTCGCCACACACCAGCTGGGGGTTGCAGGTGAGTTACGGGAGTGTTGCACCCACAGAACGTCCTGAAGGAGCCCTTAGGAGCCCCTTCACTAGGAATTGTTCTTCTGTACAACCAACACGTGGAAAACAGCTGGCTACTGCATTTTGGAATGAAAACCACCAACGAAGAGAAAAAAACACTTCTCTGCTCTGTGTGCTTAATCTGTCTAAACTGTGTTCAAGTTAATGTCTGTAAACGGGGAAAACTTGACCCAAGAGGGATTGTTGAGAAGCTAAGGCAACTATCAGCCTAAATTGCAATGGTCTGAAAGCTGATCTAAGCTGTGCCTAGAAGCCTTTAATCCAAGCATATATTTTACAAAAAAAAACAACTCCATACTCTTATCCATCTAGACCTCCCACAACCACAGCTAGCAAGTTGTTACATACCTGAGAAAATTTCCAAGGAACTAGACAAGACAGTTTCCCCTTTTTTCTTTTTTCATATAGCACAGCACAAGGGACAGATGATGAGCCAAAAATACCGTCAGCTTGAAGTTAGCTTCACCAAATTCCAGTGGTTTTGTTCTCTCACTCAGCAGAGTTCCACAGATAAGCCACTACCTATCCCATCACTCATCTGTAATTGGAGTTGGTTTGGACCCCTCATGTACTGGTTAAGGGTTACATTAACACACAGAAATTACAAGACTGGGGAGAGCAAATCTCTCCAGTTGCAACCCTGACTTTTGTCCTTGGCTTTCAGGGACTCTGTGGGGTGTTATTTCTTCGCCAAGTGGTGTTAAGGCCCATAAACAGCAATTCGAAAAATCTAGTTAGGAAGAACTCACAAAAAGATGGTTTGTTCTGTGTAGCAGCAGGTCAGGTGAAAGGAAGTTTGGAGGGGAAAAAACCCTTAAATTACAAAGCAGTGCTGCTGCCATCAGCAGAGAGAGTCTTCGGTTCCCAGGCCAGCAGAGGGCAGGGTGGATGCAGAAGGCGGCCTTGGAGTTTGTCAATGGACATGTTGGAGCATGTTTTCCTGAGGTATGGAAACCTCGCCATTAAAATATGTGGCTTTGAACTGCAGCAGGACAGTGCATTCTCCTCGCAAAAGCACCGGGTTACTCCTTGTGAGGAAACCTAAGTGAAAGAGAGGTTTTCTGAAGTAGAACTTGGACAGCTGAAAGTGCTGCTCGAAAGGAAATAAAAGATGCCTTGTGACCCTGGTTGGCATCAGAAAGAACTATAAGAAAAATCATAACTCTGAAAGATTCGCAAATATTTTAAAATGCATTTTCAGAATAGAATTTGCAGCTGTGCTTCAAACCACTTAGCACTCTGCAAGTACGAAAAAACTTTAAAGAAAACTTTGTTAAGTGCAGGTATATGGATTGCCTAATTAATTGTATGGATTTTAAAATTGCACAGCATAAAAGATATGTGTTCTTTGCCACCATTTTCAAACCTGTACGCTTTTAGTCATTATTGGGATTTTCTTTAGAGGATTTAAATACTTCGGGAAAGCATTCTAGGAAGGTAAACAAGTCTGCAATAATGGCTACGTGGGGTTTTTTGTCTGCTGTTCTACTCACGGTGGATATGGGAGACCCTGGGTAGCGGAAAGGCTCCATTCTATTTTTAGTTCATTTTATTGAATTATTAAAGTATAAAAATATGGATATTGGAGAGGAGGTCAAACACAAGGCTTTCTTTATTCCCTAACCAAAAAGTATTTTAGAACATGCCTGCAGTAAACAAAATCAATGTTCTGGTGAGAGTCTCCATCTCAAAGCTGTGGCCAGTCAGTGAAAAGCAGGAGTCAGTCCTGTGAGCATCCTGAAAATGGAAAGCAGAGATGTGGACAGTGGCTGGCTGGCCAGCAGGAAGCCAGCACAGGAACAGGGAACAGGTAGCAAGTTTCGTTGCCAAGTAGACCAGCAGCTGGTTTTCCTCCTGTCTGGAATTTCCCACGCAGCAAATGCAGCACAGCCAGGGCTTGTGCCTCAGGACCATGCAGCCAAGGGATGACAAAGGTGTGAATAAGCGGGGTCAGGTCATGTTTTACCAGACTGGATGAGAGTGGCCAAGCAGAGAGTAGCAAACGTTACTCATTGGGCTTGGCCATTATTGTTTAGAAATAGTGGAATATGTGATGTGTCTTCCAGCTAAGTTACTGCATCCGTTTGTAGGCGGCAGGATTTTCCACATGTGTAAAGATACAGAGGAGTCTCTGGTGTATGAAGTGATTAACGTGTTTTTAAAAGGCATTTCCAAAATCCTCCACCTCCTAGGAGGATGTGGCCTGCCATCCAGAAAGTGACATGTTTGTAAATATGCCACGAAACAATGGCATGAGCAACAAGCTGAGGAAGGAGAGTAAAAGGAGAGGAAGAAAAATGAAAGGCATTTTCTTCCCCCTCCCGTGGTCTACAAGCCTTACAACACAGCTGTTACTTGCACTGCTACTACCATAATCCACTTGCTGAAACAAAAGTCCTTGAAGGACTCCAGGAAGGAGAGCCTACACACACGTTGGTCAGTCCTGGTACTTAAAGAAATGTAAACTGAGCAGCAGTGTTGCTGTGAAACTGCACAGGAAGATGGAGGTGGATAGGTTTGATAAGCCACTTATGAAGAAGTCACTTAAAAGTAGTTCCCAAGTTGTTCTACAAATACCTGCTCCTGTCTGCAGGCAGTGGTGTCTGCACTCACTCTGTGGTTGACAAGTGCTTCTCAACACTGAACGTATTTGCAAGCATTTTTACATCAGACATAAATAAAACAGGTAGGATATTTTTCTTCTCCATCACTTAGCATCTGGAGTTATTGAAGGGATTCTTTTTTATTTTTTAAATGCTTTTCTTGCCTATTCCCCAAAAGAGAACATTCAAAACCAAGTGATATTGTAATAGTAATTACTTGGTTGGATTTCAGGTATAAACCTTTCCAGAAAGTCATCCTGGGTGATTTAAAGCTCCAGGTGCCACATTTGTAGCCGGAGGGAGAGTCTTAAAAACCACAATTCAGGGCAGTCAGACTCTAATCTCACTGATGCCAACCAGGTGTGGCCCAGCACGGGAACATGAGACCAGACAGCAAATCTTGTTACTGTGTTTTCTTCCTTCTTGCTCTCCATTTAGGTATCCCTTAGCAGATATTCTGATCACCTCACTGGAAATTCCACTGCCAAAAATTACATTCCCAGCCTTCAATTTCAGGGGGACAGAGGAGAGCAAACACACTTTTTGTTTGATTCAAACGGCAGTTTCCTGCCTTCAGCAACCCTCCCTGGCCTCAGCAAACCCTTTGGCTGAGGAATGGCTTTTCTAGAAAACAAATCCTCTAAAGACAAAGTTCCCCCTGCATTCCTTTTGTTGCCTCTATTAATCATTACCGTAGTTGAACTTGGACACTGCTAAATATTCACAGGAAGAATGAAATCATAACGTCACAAGCCACGAGGAGGCAGATATGTGACTACCCTCTTAAAGCACATCCTTTGACATATCTTGAAGGAAGACTGGTACTTCATCTTTGAAATATCCTCCTACACATAACTCTGCATGTATTATTAAAAAACAGGATGTTTTTAGCTGGACACTCACTCCTTAATGATTCCTTCCTGTGGGTATACTTCTCCATAGCATTTTAAAAGCACATGTCATCACAGATATGCCTGTATCTTCCTCCTGCTGTAAAATGACATAAGCAATTTGTTCCTGATAACCTCTAATTTGAAAGCCATGTATGACTGATGTGGAATAGATCCTGGTAAGTTGCACCACAGCACTCATCTTGCTCACCACAGTGCTCTTTAAAATCTGAGAAAAATACCTGTTTTAAGGGAAGGACATTTTTAAAGTATGACCAGTGAGTATGACATAATTAAACATGAAAGCACTTGGGTTTCAGAAAGTAGGAAGACTTGTAATCTGTGGGAGAAAGTCATAGGCTGACTATGAGGACATAAGGAAAAGCTGCATTTCTCAGTCAGACAGGTTTTTTCATCAAGTGAAAGTGTCACTTTTGATTGAGAAGCTGACTCAGATTATGGTGCAGTTCCTGTCATGAGTTGTTAGCTGGGTAATGCAAGTTCAAAGATAGTCACACAGCTGAACATTATCTGTACAGTCAGCCCAGAGTACTAAACCTGTGTATTATTAACCCAAAAACACTCAAATCTTCACTACAGCAGGTGGGGGCTTTGTAATAAATTTCACTGGAGAAAAATTCATCCCCCTTAAGGGTGGCTTCTCAGCCAGAGTCACTGGAAAATCTCTGTTATTTGAGGAAAATTACAGGCACGTCTTGGCTGAAGCAAGCAGCTTTGCCAGATTGTTTGGGTAACCTCTTGATCTTGCATTCTTTAGTTCTGATATTAACACAAGCAAGTTTTTCTTTTAATTTCTTGTCTAATCCGGAATTTAAATGTTGGAATTATTTCTCTTGGTACTGCCAACTTCGAATTTTTATACGGGATACTTAACCTTTTCCTGATATTTTATTGTACATCCGTTTTCCACTGATAAACCACTTGGTGATTCATCCATACAAACCTTGCTAGCTGTACGTTAGGGGTTTGTTATGCTTTATCAAAACATGCTAAATTTTGGTGTTAGGATTGAACGATGTTGTCCAACACTTCCTCTTTTTCAATATTCTTTCTATACCAGGTGCTGTTCTAGATGAAAGAACTGGAAAGGTGTTGGTTGTACAAGACAGAAATAAGGTATGTTTGTTACAGGATTATAAAATAGAGAAGTTCATTTAGATAAGCCTATTCTGTAGTAAAAAACAAAATACATGTTTCTTTTTATTCCAGACCAAAGTTGTGATAGTAAAAGTTACTTCCTTTTACAAGTGTCTTAAACACATCTATCAAAAGATTGCTGAATTCCATATTAAGGGAAGAAAACCAAACCTCTAAAAATTAACAGCTTTGTTATAAATTGTAACTGTGGATTGATTCAGCAGAACTAAGTATCATTCCTGCTTTGAGTTTTCTATTTTCTCCTGTAACTGACCCAGGAGTTCCTAATCTTGTGTTTGGATCCATTAAGACCTGTGGAAAAATCCCCATGGCTTGAAACAGATTTTGAGAGAAGGATTCTGATTTGGTTTGCTTTCCAAAATTCCAGGCATATCTGTGGCTTTAAACAAGCAGCAGCATGTTTGGCCGTGACCTGGAGACCACCTTGGTCCAGCAGGTGTAAAGGTCTTTAATTCCTCATACACGGAAGTGCCCGCCCCCACTGCAGAGGGTGCCAGACCAGAGCCGTGCTGTGGGGATGGTGGCTCCTGTGATGTGGCTTGAGGTCACCGAGCATCCATCACTGAAATGTCTTCCAGCCCCTATCAGGCTAACTCAGGTTTTAACTCAGCTGCTGCTGAAGGCTCTCAGGCTCACTGGCAGCCTGTGCTACTCCAATCAAGAGACATTTAGCCTCCATTTTGTGTTTTCATTTGCAAGGTAAAGTGTTTCATGTTAAAACTGCATTAATTAACTAAAAGAGTGAGATTAATGCAGCTTTAACATGAAACAATCAAAACTTAGCTAGGTAGACTGAAATACACTTGGATGCGTAATTTTAATTTTGTACAGTTAAAACTGTGCCAGAATCTCACTGGCTGCATTTTCCTGTCTTTCCTGAAACAGCTACTAAGACTTTTCTCCTCAGGACCCAAAACATCAGTTCATTAGAACCTACAACACAGTTAATGTAACTTCAGTGAAAGACTGCTTTCATAGGCAGGTTCAATCATACCACCAGTTGAGTTTCTAACACAAAAGACAAGCGTGTTTCTCTTCCTCTGAACTTGTTTCCTGTAATTGAAGATGTTTATTTTTCATTTTTGTATTTTAAATTTTTACTTACAATAAGGTAAAATGGTGAGGACTTGGCTTTAGGAGGACCTCCAGGCTTTCATTCAGCAATTGCCAATTAAAGCATAAACCTACCTCTCATGCTGTAGACTCCAAAAGTAGTTCCAGCTCCAGAGAGTCTCCAGGGCCAGAACAGCACACTGTAAACATTAGAAACATGACATTTATCCTTTTATACACAAAAATATAAATGTGCATGCTTACCTTTTAGTAAATTTTTAGTTGGAATTTTAAGAGCTGTTTTAGTTTAATTGTGACAGGACAATTCCACAGCACACAAAGATTTCCAGGAACAAAAAGTAAATCTGAAAGCCAATAGACAAATATATGTACTTTCCATCCGCACTATTTTTAATCCATTACTTTAAATTCCTATCCAAGCCCTTTAAGAATGCCCAGGAAAAGAAATAATTTTCCAATGTAGTCATTAGGGTTTCAAATCACTGGAAAGCACACAGCTTCCCTGCTACGCTGCATAAACAAAAAAAAAGCTTTTTTTTGGGCCAGTGTGCCTTTTTACTGCACTTATTTCTAGGAGAATGGTAACTTCTTCCTACATAAACTTTTAACAAGGAAAGAAATAGAAAGTACATAGAAGTAAAGGTAAAGCCTACAAATCTTTGTGCTCTTGCAAGAGGTGCAGGGACTGGGACTCCTTAAGCAGCGTGAATAACAACACCAAGCCTTCACTTAATGTTTTAATACTGAACTTTATTGAAATTCAATAAATGTTACTATACATACATCACACACAAGCCCTCATTTCTTATATTCCATGAAAATGACAAGTTACACTAAATGATCATTACAGACACACAGAGACATCTTAAAGCCAGTGCAGTATAGAACAGTACAATCATAATACCTGTTTGTAAGATTAAATATATATACATTTGTTAAAAGCCAAAACAATGGAAGTGGAATACATTAGTGATTAAATATAAGATTATATAGTCTATAGCAGCTTTTTTTTTATACTCAACTACTCTATCTAGCAGCAACGTTGTCTAATGACTGTTAGACAGTTTGTATCTTTAATCAGTAGATGTTTTGTTCCAATAGTTCATACAGACTGTAGCTGTCTCTGATCATCACATCAGCAGGAACAAACAAGTTCCTACTTACTGCTATTTGTAAAATAACAATACTGCAACTTCAACCCAAAAAAAGTTATGTGTTAACTGTCTCCTTTGTATTAAAGAGTGCAACACAGGCTGACGACTTCATTAATGGATTTTTCCTCCAATACAGACTGTAAACGCATGGAAATTTCCAGGAGGTCTGTCTAATCCAGGAGAAGACATTGGTAAGTTCTATGAGAACAGGTCAGCCATCAACAGAACTACAAAGACATGAAAATACACTGAAATACAGCATGACCCACAGTGCTCCTGTGATGGATGGATTGTTTCCTTGAATGAATGGTCAATAGATGGAGTGACACAATCCTGGCACACTAATGGTAACAGGGTAGCATGTTCAGGACAAAGAAAGTTTGTGTTTGTAACATTTACTCTTTTCTACACTATCTTTTAAGTGAGTGCTTGAGGCCAGCTAAGGTTTTGTAGGTTGGTCAGATATACTGCAATATGATCTAGAAGTGCAGAGGATTAAGGTAATCCATATATAGCCCAAATAAAACTGAAACAGAGAGCTCTCAGCTCACACTGGAATCCAGGGCAGTGACCTCAGGGATGGACTGAGCAAAAATTTCCAAGTCTCCCTTTTTATGCACAAAACAGAAATAAATGCACTTACTTCCTTCCACCCCCTTCACTTGATTAGTTGGGACCAAGAGCTCCTCAGCACAGGGCCAGGGTGAAGTGCAGGGCCTCAATCTTGTTGGCACCTACTCCTACATGAGGCACTCCTGTGGTAGGAAACAATGCTGGTTTGAGGAAACTTCTCATTTCTCTCCAACACAGCACAGCTGATGAACACTGCAGCAGCTTATCTTCACAGGTGAATGAACAAGGGTGTTTATGAAGAGAGAGAAAATCTGACTTTTTTTCTCTCCTTGTATCTCAGCCCTTAAAATCATGATCCATAGGCTGGTTACTTAAACCAGGTGTCAAGACCAGGTTTCCTGACTGTTCCATACCTTAGAAATACCAACTTATAGCAATCTCCCTACAACAATGTGTGTTAAGAGTTGTATTCCAGTTATTATTTCAATACATGGAGAAAGTTGCTGTTTGTCAGGGTATGGCTGAGTTTAGTTTTCGTAACTCATGAGTCACTTTTTAAGCCTTTCTGTCAAACCTGGCGATGGAAATCAAAAATACTTGCTGGACAATGCAATGTAATGTGGTGAAATGGATCCATGTTTTCAAAAGAATCCCAAATGTCATGGCTGTTGCCTAGCCAGGCTCCTTCTCACTTCTAGTGCCAGCACAGCAACAGGATTTTTGTACTCAAGGGAACAATAAATGACCAGCACTGGCATTCCAGTGGAATTCCCCAGAGTGATACTGCTACGACAGCAGCCATCCTTAACAGGTGAGATTATGGCTAGAGCCTGGACTGAAAACCACCCAGGAGCAAAGTCTCTTACAGCTTCCCTCCTGCCACTTCTAAACTACAGAATAATAAAAGTTATGATTCTCTGCATCACATCTTATATTACAAGAAGATATAAATTAGTGAAGCATAAAATATAATAAGAGCCTAATTTTCCTTTTTCATTCTTACATCAAACCTTAAAAACACAAGTCACTCAAGGGACTACATTTTAAATTACAATTTAAAATTGCCATTACAATGCTTAAAATCCTTTGGTTACATGAAGTGATGACATGCATGGCTGCCTACTTAAATGAGTGCCAACTGACACCAATAGTTTCATAATGCAGATAAAGCAAAGTGCACAGTTTTTTATCTGAGTATTTCTGCAACTCCAGCCCTAGTGTTTCTTCTAGTTTAACTGTCATTAGATTTTTATATACATACATACATACACACATTTAAATAAAAGGGAAACAGAAAATGGCACTTCATCTAAAAGCAAAGTTCAAAGCTTAAATGAAATCCCTCATTACTGCAGTTTTCTTAACCACAGCCTGCCTCAGCATTCCTCACCATCTCAGTTCACTTCTGTGTAACACAGCCTTTTGCCCACTAACAAAGCCACCTGCCACAGGGAGTTGCTATTTCCAGTATCCAAAATTACCCCTGAAATATCTGTTTTGTTCCCTTCTTACTTGGCAAGATGCAAGCTTCCATGGGATGGTGAATGTCTATGAGCCTTTTAAAATGCATTTGCTTTTGGAAGCAAGCCAGCACACATTCCTTACTGAAAATGAACTAACAGGAGCAGGTAACATTGTACAACAGTTCTGTACATTGACCACTCAAACCAGACATGACCAGGAGGTTACATTAATTTGGGAAAAGCCAGTATTTATCCTACCAGTGGTTACCCCAGGAAAGTAGGATTTCACTTGACTATGATGAAACTGCAGAATTTGGGGAAATCGGTGGAGTATTAAAAAACTTCTGTAGGGATCTTCAATTTGTCATTGAAGAGAAAAATCTTCTCTCTGGAGGAGTTCAGGATGGATGGATGTTTCTCTGGCTGTAATTGCAGCACACAGACCCTGTAGACCCTTCAAGGTTCCTGCTGCATTTGTGGTTAGCAATGTTAGCACTGACCTCACTCTGGCTGGGGCACACAGAATGCACACATGCAGCACAGATGCAGCATGTTTCCTGCAAGAAAAGGCTCTGTGCTGCACTGGTGCTGTGGCATATTTGAAATGTCACCAGACTCTTAAGGTACATGTTAAAAAGGACACGGCACCAACTTTGACTTTCTGAAAAGAGTTTTACCCATTTTGTTACCCCTTGGGGTGAAGTGCAGTGAAACTGATCTGATCAAGAGATCTGACATCGGTACAGGTGCAGCTGCACAGCGTCTGAGTCTGAGACTGGGCAGGGCCAAGGAGAGGGATGGGGATCCAAAGGACTGCAAAGGCAGTGCAGTGCTATCTTGGATTATCAGATCAGTGGAGCCAGCAGCCATCAGTGTCCATTACAAACCACACCCTGTACAGCATTACCAAAGTAATTCTGTAGGATACACAGGAAAGGCTCACAGCAATTACTTTTGTTTGGGGACTAAAACACTGGCTTATCCCTGTGTTGGAAAAACAGACTTACAGACTTACTTACACTCTGAAATCCTTATGAAGCAGAACACAGAACATGCTGAGTAAGAGGCTTTCCACCTTTCCAAAAGGTTTGAGGAGTGCTAAGTTACTCTCAGATGTATTGTGAGGATTGCTCTTTCCACCAGGAGACACAGCAGTTCGAGAGGTTTTTGAAGAGACTGGCATCAAGTCAGAGTTCAAGTCCATCCTAAGCATCAGGCAGCAACACGAACACCCCGGAGCCTTTGGGAAGTCGGACATGTACATCATCTGCCGCATGGAGCCCTGCTCCTTCCACATCAGCTTCTGCCAGCACGAGTGCCTCCGGTGCGAGTGGATGGACCTGGAGGAGCTGGCCAGGACGGAAAACGCCACGCCCATCACCAGCACCGTGGCCAAGCTCTTACTGTTCGGGTACCGGGAAGGGTTTGATAGGATTGACATAACCATGAGGGAGTTCCCAGCTGTCTACACAGGCCTGTTCTACAAACTCTACCACAGGGAGCTGCCTGAGTCCTACAGAAACATGACGTGATAGCAATACATTTCACATTTCCATATAGTAATAATTTAGAATTATTATTGCAGTGTTGCATATTACAGTTATCCTGGACTTCTTTTTAGGTAATTATTAGAACGTAATTATTCTCTAATAAGCTAAGATATAAATTATTTTTAAAGGTAATTATTGCTATGAATGTGCATCAGGTTTTTTCCTCCTCTACTCCATAAAGCAAGCATAAGGTAAATAAAATACATAGGTACCAAGAAGAAAACAGAAGTGTTGCTGATGCTGAAAATATATTCTGCAAGTCATTTTACCTCCACACACACTGGCACAATAGATTTAAAGAGAAATAAAAAGATAGTATGAAACATTCATGGTTTAATCTGGCATCTGCAAAAGTAGTTATAATATCAGCAAATAATTGCTTATATTTGGCTACTTCAGAGAGGTGTAGGAAAGGCGACGTCTTTAATGCTGTGTGGCATTGATGCTCAGGATCTGCCATGGAAGTCAGCTTTTAGCAGACATGGGAAGGAAAAGGATTGCTTTCTGTCCAGGTCCAGTTTTTGGTCCAGGTTTGTACTGTCCAGTTCTTTTCAGTGCCACGTACCAATCCGAGTATTTCCGTGACCGGTAAGTGTTGTAGTTATTGGATTCCAAACGCTCGAAAAAGAAACATTCTTCTGTTGCGTATTTCTGAAGGGGAAAAGAGAAAGCATTACTGGTAGCACCACAAATCGATTATTCACATTCGGGGGACTAACTTAGCAAGAATGTGAGCACTACCTTTGGTTTTAAGAAATAGAGATCAACTGTTTCACAACTGAAGAAAGATACTGTGAAAATATTGTTAAAAACACAATAAGAGGTTTTTACCTACGGTTCATTTATTGTCTCTAACACAGATCAAGCAGCTTTTAATTTGTTTTTACTGTGTAATTCTTTATTCTGATAGAAAATGCATAAAGAAAATGTTTTGTAAGAACAAAAGCTTTAAGCAGAGTATAGACGATTCAGTACAATTCCTCAAGCTGGAAATTCAGGCAAAGGCACATCAAAAAGGCTGAAAAAAAGGAAAGTCCTTATTTCTCCCCAAATTATTCTCACAAACATTTTTTGAGCACAATTTGAATCCATAACATCAAAAGACATGGATTTCTCTTTGAGTCAAGTCCTTGAAGTCTGGCAAAACCTGGCCAATTGCAGCGAAACCACATAAGCACGACAAAATGCATGGGTCATATCCTTAAATAACAAAGTATTTATCATAAAATACAAGTTAGTCAAAATTCTTCCTTTCATGGGAAGTTCGGGAGATTTCTTCATTAAATTAATCACATTTCATTCCATATAGTGAAAGTATTTCATGCTTATAATGAAACTGTAAAGTCAAAATAAGCCATATCAGATGAGAAATGTTTCCGTTTTTCCATCAAAAATCTAATGCAACAGATGCATTTCTGCACTAATATTTTCAGTTAAAAGAGCATTCTCCAAGGGGAGGTTTTGACTATCTGCATTCACAACCAGCCACTTCCTCCAGTGTAGAGATCACCTCTCCCCCACGACTGAGTCTGTTAGTAAAGAGCATGAAAATGCTCAATTAAAAGCTGCATCATCCAGATTCCAGAAAAGAACGCAACCCACTGCACCCCCACACAAATCACCAGGGTGAGCAGCGGTCCACGAGCTGTGCAATAAATCATCCTGCAAAGCCCAGCTCAGAACAAGCCCTGCAACATGTCTCAACAAGTAATTACAAAAACATCCGACAAGACAAAAAACAGTCCTGAGTAAGAATCTGCAAACATATTTACGAAAATGTTAATTATTTGTTTGTAAAACAAGGACACTACGCAATTTGATCCCAGACATTAAAAAGTAATTTTAAAAACTCCAGACTTTAAAAAGGACAGAGTAGTACTTGAGTCACTGATGGATTAAAGAACTAAACTATGTGTTTAAAACTTAAAGTTCCATAATGTTTTAAAAGAAATTTCAGCAGTGTTTCACCATGTGCAATTCACCACAGACATTTCTACTGTACACTCTCTGCAAGCTCTCGTGAAACACAGCCCTGCTCTAACTGAACAAGAGACGCTCTGGCAATTAGAAACAGTTTCTTGAATGCATTTAGAGGCAGAAAATGGTAAAGGCACAGCCAGCCACAGACTGTTGGAAGTCAGCACAGAAATCCTCATGGAAAAACATTGCCAGTGCTACAGAAAATAGCCATGAAATTGCAGCAGCGTTTGTTAGGCTGGTTGGAGAAAAAAAGACTTTGAGTAGAGAATTTCCACCTATGAATAACAACAATGTTGTGCGCAGCAAACACGATTCAAGTAATAACCATTTCCAGAAACAACACCAAAGAAAAAAGTTTTACAAGCTCAAGTGAGAAGCGCAAAGTGACCCAACTTTACATATTCTGAGAGAGTCATTCTGAGCGACTGGACGATACTTCCCGAGCATTTCACCTTACAGGAACTAAGCAACTAAAACGCTGCAAGGGAAGCATATTCCACAACCAAACCCACCATGCAGCAGAAGGTCAGAAATCCCAAATATAAACACGCCCCTGTATTTATGTTTATCATTTTACAAATGGTGCTAAACACCCTGTTTTGACCATTCCCCGTCACTCAGGGTACGGAGTGCAATTAGAATGGGAAGCCGAATGCCACCGCACCAGCACCACAGGAAATTCCCAATTATCCCTAACTCAAGAATAGCACAGTGGACAACTCCTCACATTTTCTTCAACTGAGCTGTCACACAATATCCCAGTAACTTGAAGCAGGTTCTTTAACTGCATTCCTGAGCCCACACAAAACTCCCTGGAGCCAGAACGGAGGAGTGCCCCGGGGAGTCCTGCTCCTGTAAAACTACTTTCAGTCTCATTTCATGGAGGCAGAGAAAGGGAATGAGAAATAATTTCTGCAGCCCTGGCACGGGTCTCTCATTAGCTGCATTCAGCCAGGGTTAGGAATGCACATTGTTAGCCCCAGCCACAGAGGGGACTTGCACGGAGGCTGAATGGAGCTGTGTGAATACACAAAGCACCAGGGACTATTGCAAACCAAAATTCTGGCAGGGTGGATGCCCTGCAGTGGTGCTTCACCAGGCACTGAAGGATATAAATGTGGATGAGGGATTTACAGTTTCTAGATCTCATGAGCAAAATGTAACTGCAGCTCTTGAAGCAAAATTTATCATCTGGCTCTGAGAGACATTAACTCTCAGAGTCTGCTGCACACACTGGCTTTAAAACACAGTTAAAAGTTCAGCTGATACCAATAAAACATACAAGAGTTTAAACTAAAACTAGTCTCACTACAGAGCAGCTTAATTTACCCACATTTATAAAACTTTTAAAATTTTATCATCACATTTTCAAAAATATTTTTCTTGCCAGTTTTCAAGTTAGGAAGTAGAAGTGCCCAAAAAACCCTCAATTCTCTACAAAGTGGAAAATGAGAAAAGAATTTACACAGATTAGTATCACAAAAGTAATTTTTAAAAGAAATTTGCTTTACTTTCCACTTCAAAGAGGTATTTTAAAATTGATTTATGTAAAAGTAAGTGAAAGAGGAAAAAATTACTCCTGAGGGTAAAGAGGCAGACTTTATTCTTCATTTGTTTTTATAATTTCCCGATCACTGCGATTTTTTTTTCTCTCAGACAAGCCATTCCTGTTAAATTTTGCAACTCCTCGGTAGGGCACAAATACCCAAGTCCTCCTAATTCCAATTTCAGGTAATTGACAGAAGCTCATTTCTCCTGATAAATCCCACACGGAGCAGCAGACTAAGTCCTGCAGGAAGAAAGGCAACTCCACAAAGATCAAGGGACACACAGCAACACAGAGACATCAGCAAAGTGTTGCTTACCAAGGCCAGCAATCTGCCATCCTCCTTCATGGCCAGGAAGCGATTGGCACTGACACCTTTGATGGACACCACTCCTCGTTCCTCCGCCTGAAGCTGCAGCTTAACTGCAAACAAAACAAAAAAAAAAGAAGGTTTCACAGCCATCATGAGATTGCAGCACTTGACAGTCACTGCTTCAAACCCTCCACCACAGAAAGCTTCAGCTTGGAATGAAAATAGTAAATTTTCAACCTTTGTCTTTCTGATGCCGTTTTTACAAAGAAAGTAGCTACTCTCAAATTTGCAACAGCAAGACTGAGTTATTCCATCTTCATTTTGCATCAAGGCAGCTTAAAACCCATGAAATTCCTTGAAAGGCCACTTAGGGCACAGTGAACTGCTCCCAGAAAATGGAAATTTTTCATGGCAGTTTTTCCAGTGGTATCTCTCAATGTCTGCAGAACGGCATCGGACACTGGACGCACGCAGCTCTGTACAGGCAGCCTGTCAGCGAGTCTAACCAAGACTATTCAGTTCCATATCACTCCCTAAGGGTTCTGCTGTTCCCAACAGAAAAATATCCATTTGTTTACCTCATCCATCCAACAAGTGGGTGGAACAAACAAACAGAACTGCAGCAGTAGGTGAAGGCAGCAAAGGCACAAGAAACAGTGTTACACAAAGCAGGAATATGTTTTGCATCAATTAAAAGAAATTAAAGATTTTACAGAAATAAAAACCTGTAAGTTCCTATCACACAGCTTTTAGCTACTACCTGTGAATTATTAACACAAAGCCTTAACTGATTTCTATTTCCATAACTCAAACCCAGTAGTTTGGATGAACACATGAAAGCTTCCCCTTTTGCCTGCCTTTGCCTTTTGTACACAACATCTCGGACAGGAGCTTCCTTCACCCGCTTTGGTTCAGCAGGTACTTTACTCCATTTGGAAATGCAGTTTTAAATAGCTTGAACTTTTCAGCCATCAGAATAAATGCCTGAAGGGACTATACATTCTGGAGAAGGAACATCTCTTGAGATTCAGAGAGTGGTTCTTGCTTATTTAGCTTTTTGTTGAAGGGAAAAAAAGACAGAACTGAAGAAACCAAGTCAAACTCCAACACCAGGAATACAGGGAACATGAAATTGTTGGGACAATTGCTGCAAACCTTTTTTCAGGGTAAAAGTAAAAAGTCAGGCACAATTTCATCTCAGAATCAAGTATCGAAAATACAGCACTCCCAAGTCATGAGGCCAAAATCAGACTTGTGAACAGCTCCAAACACTTCGGTGTAACTCCTTAGCCTCTGGGGCAGCAAGAACGTGGAAAAGTGCTCTGGGCAGGGACTGTGGGAAATGGACTTTTGAGATGTGCCAAGCACACTGCTTTCACCACACACTTAACAAGAAACAGCTGTGGAACAGCTGAAAATTAATATTAATTACTACAGTACTGTCTGCTTTGTTACTTTCTCTGGGCAAAAACGCACACTAAATCCTACAGCATCACACCGAGCCAGAAGTTCAAATTTTGCAAAAATAAACTTCTGGTAAAGGTTTGTAAGTCCTGTAAAAATTTGTATAGTTTGGAGAAGCTTCTGAAAAGAAAAAAAAAAAAAAAAAGCCCCAAGGTATTCCTACAGAGTTGGAAAAGAGCTGCAATACTGAAAGCCCCAAAAGGAAAATGAGCTTCACTGGATTTTCCTCTCCAACTCCAAAAACACGTGAACAAACAGCCAGAAGAGTACTGAGAGTTTTTCAGGTTTCAGTGTTATTTTACAGCTTTATTAATGCAGTGAGTATTTGCCACAGGGTTACACTGAACTGGAGATGCCAAGATACAACACAGCCTTACTGATCAAACACATTTTGACCCATATGATCATTACCAGAAGTGACAATTTTAGGTTTAGCTCACTGCAACTAAACTGATTGCAAGAGAAATGTATCACTTGACACAGATTATCTGCACCTTTGGCAGCCTTTGGTCACCAACAGGAACAGTGCAGACTCTGTTCATCATTTCACATCTACTCCCAATACTTGTTTTCAGCATAACTGAACCTCAAAACCCCATCCGTGAAAGTCAAATAATTAAGACATTTGTATCCCAAAAAAGTAGCAGATTGTTGTGGAAGAGGTCATTTACCAAGGGCTAAAAAGGCCCATTTTCCCAGATAGTCTGGCACTTCTTTGAGGGCCCCTCTAGCACGGCAGTGAGTTATTTTCCTGTTCCCATTCATGCCCTGCAATCCGTGAGGAACGCCAAGCACAAGGCTCTGCTCGATGCCCGCCGGTGTTGTGAGAACACAGAGCTCCCCTGCTGAGCAAACATCCCCAGGACTGGGGCTAAGTCATCACTAAGTTATTAAATAAAACAATACAGCCAACTCAAAGGACCCAGGAAATTTACAGCTCCTATTAAAGACTTTCTTTTCTATTATAATAAGCTTAATAGAATCATTCTGCTGAGCAAGAAAGAATGAATTGCAGGATGTACATATGCACTTTCACACCAGTGGAGAAACTGAGTGATGTAGCTGAAGTGAACCTACAGTGCCTTCCAGTCATATAAAAATGGATAGAGAGGGAATGTGTTTTCCCAACAATACACAGAGGTTCTGTTAGAGATTCATATTCACTGATGTTCTGGCTGAAAAACTCCACAAGCTATACAGTCCAACCTGAATTTCCACTGAAACTAGTATAATCTGTGGCACTAAAGGAAGCTGGAGCACGCTGCAACAGGCACCGTGATGTTCTTTCACAGCACACGTGGCCAGGATAGATGTACAATCTGCCGGTTAAACTGAACAGTGTATTTATGAGAGTTACAAATGGGCATTTATTTCACAACTTGGAGAGACTTTTCTAAGAATATGGAAGTTGAAAAGTGTATTTAATAGCATTGTGGTTGGCAAGGTTTCAGATTTCTGTTAAGAAATGGAGCTTCCTTGTTTTCTTAGAGACCTCAAACAAAATTATTTCCAAGGCAGTTTTGTACAGTTCAGTGGAGAAAATAATTTTAAGGACAAGTAGCTAGAAAGAAAAGCTGTTAGCAAATGCAGAGAACAGAGAAAACATGAACGTTTTCCAAAAGTACTTTTATTGTCTTGAGCACTAGAACTGGAAAACCACACGTACAATGCAAACTCTCAGGTCCTTTCACAGTTCTAATAAACCAAAGCTTTAGAGTGGCCCAGACCCAGGAACTACACAACTTAAATGGTCCCAAATGGTTTCACTGCTCTGCATCATAAAGGGTTCAGCCAAAAATCTCCTTCGAAATCGGTTCATTACAAAGACCTGGGCAAAATCTACCGACTTAAATCTTCAGAGAAACAGAGCTGCACATTCTGGAAGTTGTTCACTGCTGAGCTGGATCTACCTTTTGACTCCCAGTGGGAATGTGCTGGCAAGCCCTTCGCCCGGGGCAATCCCTGTGAGCAAAGCCACATGCTGGAATTTCACTCACAGCAGCTGCACTGGCTAAGCTGTTCTGGGGCAGGAGAATGCCACAGGATCAGTAAGGAAAAGGGAAAATAAAGGTCACAGGGAGGAGAGAGAGGGACAGAAACACATTAGGAATAAAATAGAAGGCAAACAAAAACAGCAAAGAGCAGTGAAGACAGGGCAGGGTAAGGGCAGTACAGGAGAGTGCTGTGCTGGAGCATGAGGCAAACTCATGTATCTGAAGGAGGTGGAATTTGAGGATGCATTAGCCAAAGGGATTAATAAAACTCCCATTTTCCTACTCCTCCTCAAGGAAATGGCAACTCTAACCACTGTATCAGAGAAACCCTGAAGTAAAAACCAACTATGAAATTCTTGGCTTTGGATGCATTTACACAGCAAATAAAGGTTTGATTACAGCCTCAACTGTATTTTCACTGTAACCTTTCTAGCAAACACCCTACACGCAGCCTTGTGCAGACTAAAGTTACAAGTACCACCTCAGTGTCAGGATCACACAAAAATCGGGTCAGGACGACTCCCTCTAGTCCAGCCTCCTGCTCAAGAGCCCCCATCACTTCACAGTGAGAACTCTGCCTGCCACACTGCACCTAAGGGAGCAGCTTATGACCTGGAAAGAGAGAACAAACTGGATACTATTTCAACCCCTATTTTCACTAACATACAGCTGCTTTATTGGAACAAAATGCAAAACATCTCTCACTCCGTTTACGAGAAGGGAGAGTTTCTGTACCCCCAAAAAATCCCAGGCTGCACGTCTCTGGATCAATGACTAGTGTTACTACAGTCCGCTGTGGAAAAGCTCAGCCCCAGCCAAAGGCTCAGGGCCCATCTCCAACATATTTGCAGAGGCCCTGTAAGGAAAATCCTTCCACGAGGCCCCCGAGTGACAGTGCACTGAAGCTGCTGTGCCAGCTCCCACTACCCGTCCCCCCGCAACTCTGTGCCCACAGGAAAGCACAAAGCAGCGATTTTTCACTCTCACAGAGTAGTAGGTCAGCCCCAGAGGAAATAAGCACCAGAAATGCAAGGAAGTTCACAAAACAGAGGGGAGAAGTAACACTCAACAACATTTCGCTAAATGCAACACCCTACAGCCGAATTCCCACTCCGCCATCCTCTGTGGCTGAAGTTGGCCATTCCTTCATGCTCGGGGGCAACATCTATTCCTACCCAGGTGTCCAAGCAAAACACAAGGAGTCAGATGTGCCTGCTCCACACCTAACACGACAAACCCTCCCAAACCCAGGGGCTGGCTCAAAGCTGCACATGCATTTACAAACACACATATATTAACACCCTCCTTCTGGCATTTCCTGCCTGCTGGATCAGACCCAAACCCCAGCCTGGTGATGCCTACTATAACTTTCTCTAAGACTTACAAATATCTTTGTGTCCCTCTGTCCCACATCAGTCTCTGACAGTTTCTGATATCTCTTTCTCAAAGGCACAATTGGCAATTTAATACCTTCTGCGATTTGGTAAGTGCTGACATACGAGACATCCCCAAGTCTTCAGACTGCGAACAAGAGAACAATTTGCCCACTTTCATATGCTCACGGTAAAACTGAGCCACTGCCAGAGTTACTGATGCACACACTGCCTAAAACCTGGAACACGTGAGGCAGGAAGAGGAGAAACAGAGAGGAG